GACGAGAACGTCTGGGAGCCGGACTGGATTGACCTGGAGGATGAGATTGTCAAGGAGGAGCCAGACGCTTCGGACGCCCATTTCCCCCGGATAGGAGTAGCAGTCCTGGCGTAGGAGCAGTCAGCTTTGGTCACTAATATCGGCGAGTAGTGGAGAGTATGGCAGATCAGGATATACTCCGGGTGACTCTTTCCCTGCGACGGGATAGAACAGGAGGTTGGGAGGAAGAAGCGTTAGACATTGTTGAGAGACTAGTTAGACTCATGACGGAGCATGCCCTGGAGATACGGAGAGGCCAGAGGTTCACGGAGTTTACTATCTACTACCATGGAGCCGACGGGAGAGTGCATAGCACCTACTCAACCGCATGGGATCTGAGTGGTGGAATTGTCTGAAGAGTCGGCAACATCCAGAGATAGGGTGCGTTGGAGGGATTAGAGCTTTACAGATCAAGAGCCGGAGAGGAGATGAGAAGTGACTCGGCRGCCTGGTTAGTATATGTTCTCTCACGAGGATCTGGATCGTACCACGTGAGAAAGCTTGTGGGACCCAGAGAGACGGCGGTTGGGTACGACATACCTCTTCCTGTGGCGTTGGAAGGTACGGAGCGAGTGCCGATACGACACGTGGGGACGTGGCTCGCAGAAGGGCTGTTCCTTTGGACGGTGGTACTACGAGACGAACGATCYGGTAGGACTYATGATCTAGAAGGKGTCGGACATCTGATAGCCGACAGAACATATGATTTGGAGATAGGATTAACACTCGCAGGAGCGGGCAGGAGCTGGTGGAAGCGCGAGTTATTGGCCAGAGCAATTGTTAATCGGCAACTAGATCGACTCTCGGGAGGAAGGGCGAGTCGGACCCGCTTGGTATACGGACCACCTCATCCGAGCCTCTATCCGAGAGAGGCTTGCCGATTCGGGCTTCCTACCTTCGTGCTAGGGCAGACCTATGGGAGCGTCAGTCGTTTGAGCAGAGCAGTAGACCACACGCTTTACGCGCTCTGGGAGGGCTTAGCGCCCCGTTTCCAGGATGTATACTATGCTATCTGTGTGAAGTGGGGACCGCCAAGTAGGGAGACACTTAACGACATCTTAGACGCTACTAACTGGGTGGAATGTCTAAGGCCGAGCGATTTGATAAGGTACTGCAGGAGACGAGCGGAGATTGATTACGAAGGGTTGGARGAAGCAAGATTTCTCTTTGAGGCGGCGGCTTAAGGATTCCCGGGAAGGACGACTACGGCGATGCGGGTGGAGGAGCAACTGGTAAGCGCAGGATACACTGTGACAATACTTCTCCGAGCATACCTAGACGAGGATTTGACGGCGAGCGAATGCGGACGACGAGCTAGGGAATTGATTCACGAGCGTAGAGCTGGTATACTTGCGCGAGTAACCTTCCAGACCTCAATCGCCTATGACGTGATGGTATGGTCCCGTGGTTATATGCGCGCAGAGCACTTCCACGACGAGACTGTAGCGGAAGCTAGAGCGAGGGTGAGAGAATGAGCTCGAAAGAGATGTGGACTGAGTATGGAAGAGGAGAGTGAGGCAGTAGAGAGTGTGAGAAAGCGTATTAAGGAACCACTCTTGAACCAAGTAAAAAAGCTGGGGGACAAATTAAGGGAGATCTGGCCGTGTCAGGATGAGGTCAAGTTGTGTAGGGCAGAGCTAGCGACGAGAGAGTTAGAAAAACTTTTTAGGGAGGAAAGAGAGAGAATCCAGGCGTGGAGGTCAGACTTTCTGGAGAGAGTAAAGACAAGAAGCGTATCACGCGGAGAGACGAGTGAGCGAGCTGAGGAGAGTGAGACCAAGGAGGACAAAGTGACGCAGGAGAGTAGCGACAGGATATGAGCGGGACAGCAGTTCACACGACGGATTGGTACTCATTGCATGTGGTAGGGAGATTAGACGGACCATTGGTGTTAGTGATCGTAGAGCTCCAACTCCATAGTAGACTATGCATAGTTGAGGAGGCGGAGTGTGTTCGACGTGCCCTGCGTGAGGCTAGGGGGACAGGACTTTGGATCGGATTAGAAGGAGGACGGAGGATAAAATACGTGCTCCGAGTGACACCCTTTGAA